AAGTAGACGCAGGTGTTGCTGGCGCTCAATGCCTGACCCAGGTTTTGGTGACGTTCTTAAAATCATAAAATCTCTTCCACAAAGGATCATTAGCTAGAAAATCAATAACCTGATCAATAGCTAGCAAGCCAACAACCTGATCAATAGCTTGGAATAAATAATCAACAAATCAGTTTACCAATATCAAGGCTTTCCATTCATTTATATTTACACACATTTTTTTTACATTTACACCCCTTAGCCGTGCGGCCTTAGAACTGAGCACTTTTTTAAGCACCCAGTCGTGCCTACCGGTACTATATAGCGCAGTGTTTGCTCTCAGCCCGGCATGTAACCCGCCTGCTTATCTCTCCGTCAACCTCCGCAGACCAGCAGCAGATGCTGGGCGATACTTGGAAATTAATGCCTACATTACGATGGCGAGCTGTACCGTACTTATCACAGTAATGACTATGAAGACTACTTATAATAGTAGTGACCAGTAAAGGAATTTATATTTCAATTCTGAGTAAGCTCTTCACTAATATGGCCCTGCCCCCGCCTTTGGCGCTAGATGATCTCAGTGATCACTACGAGTTTCACCCGCGTGGTCTCTGGGGTGACCCGTTTCCCTTACAACGATTGCGCAAGGTCATATTTGAATGCATAGGATGGCACAGAATTGGACCATGTGCCGTTTTTCGGATCGCCGGCCGTGATAACAAACCAGCGCGTATCGATTGGTCTCGAGTTTACGCCATTCGATTGCTCAAATGACGTAATTTGAACAATTGGAAGGACTTAAAGTACCCTTCTTCGATTGAAATAGTACTATGTAATGCATCTTAGAAGCATACGTAGCATGGTACGCACCTCATAAGGCTCATTGCTTATGGATTGAGTAAGAAGGCAGTTTGACACCCATTATTGATCAATAAACGAATTTTGAGACATCCTGGCATATGTCAAGTGGTATCAAGTCCGGTGTTTGACTTCTGGGACACATGGAAAGTTGATTACGAGATTCTAAACCTTCTTTAGAGCACAGTAGGCTTCACCTAACGATTCCTTTCAGGAATTTGGAAGCTATAGCACACTTATGCCGAAATACTTCCGACGATCGCCTCGACTATTACACGAAAATAAAATCAATAAGCCAAATCAAGGTTCATTTGCCGGCTGTACAACAATAAATAGGACATGTGATCTCAAATGTCATGTCATATCTATCCATTTAGCACACAGTATTCAGTTCTTATTGGCGTGATTCACACGAAGTTGACGTCCGTTGAAATCGGCTCCATTCAGGCTGTTGACGGCATTGTGAGCTCCAGCCTCATCGGAGAACTCGCAAAATCCGAAGCCTTTGGTGCGACCGGTTTCACGATCATAGACGATTCTGCATGTGCAAAGTATATGTATTGATCGAAACAAATCGAAAAAGGAGGTCTGTGGACTCACTTTGACGTTCGTTACGCTACCGGCTTGGCTGAAGTAGTTTCCAACTTCTTCCTCAGTTGTCTGGTAGGGGAGGTTTCCAACTGAAATTATCGGCAATAAAAAAGGATGCGGGAACAAAAAGAACCATAAAAAATAAAGGGCAATAGAAGAAACGGGACTTACCGTATACGGAATGACGACCAGACATTTTGTTTTATATTGGAAAGAAAGAAAGAAATGAAAGGCGGCCGGCTACGACGCGAACGATACTGTAGTGAAGAATCAATCGGTCGGAACCGAGACGGTGAGCGGCAGGCACCGCCCATTTTGGCCCAGAGCCAAATATTACCCCGACCGCGGCTGAAAGGGTCACCTTCCCAGGCCTGTCAGCTGATAGGCCTAATCGGCCTCTCGCCAGGGTTAAGGGAGAGGGAGCTCCGTTGGTTTTCTTGAAACCTGCTCGGCTACTCAAATTCTGGAGTGTCACTACATGAGAAACCTTCCACAAGATTTCTCAAGGGAGACCCACGCTGCCGCGTTCATTTATTGCTATTTGATTGTCTCTGCAGTCTTAAGATCAAAAAACTGCATCAAAATTTCCTACCGTATGCAAGGCGTGGAAAGAAATGTTTGATGGCGTGAATACACAACAACCAGCAACTTAGGTCTACGGGCCTATTGTCCTTTCCTTTGGCCTGTGTTCTGCAGTAGGGTAATTCCTGTTGTAACATGGCTTGTTGGCTCCACCGCAGTTTGCAATCAACTACTCTATGCCAGAAACTTCCTGCTTAGAACGAAATGTGAACATTGTATTATTATAGAAAATTCATTCAATAAGCATTTACTGAACTTCAGCTGGAACAAATTTTACATCAAATAATACGATTAATACAGTTCAATATAAACATTCATCATAAGCTGAATACATTAGAAAACTTCGTAAGCATTGTGTTTAGCGCTAAGTTTTTCAAGCACAATAACACAAAAATTGGTTAGGGTAGCACGGAACAAAGATTTCAATAATGAAATATGTATGCCGAATTGACTGGAATGAAAAAAAGAACCACAAACCAATCACGTCGATTTGAAGCCATGAGTATTCCTCCTTTTCTTCCTGTTGAAATAAGGAAGGGTGGAGCTGGCGAGTTTTTTTTCAGTTTGCCTTGCTCACACGAATCCACTAACGCGGGTTTTGTGAATTAGCCGTTTATGCATGACTACGCAGCATACGCGATCGCAACGGCAAACAAATGGCATTTCCACCAGAGCACGGCTTCCAAAGGTCAGTTTTTGCTTTTTGCGTCGTGTTTTGCTAAGGATCACGCATTTTTCACTTAAAGGCATGCCCCAGGATCGCACTGGTGTGGCTCTTGCACACGAATGTGAATGTATCGGTGCCAAGTGGGCCGGCAGTGAAGAAAAAAGGAAAAGAATCCGTCGAAAACGCTCAGGTTGAGGGCTCACTCACCTTCCTAATTGGCTGTGCTAAAGGAACGAGAGACTAAGCGCGAAGAGGAGAGTATGGGGCGAGAGAGCGCATCAGATGAGAGAGCACCAGACAACGGCCTGATAAGAGAGCTCGTTCGCTGCAGCTCGAGCAGCTTACTTTGCAAGCCCAAAGCGTTCTTGTCGGTCGAATTCCGTGCACGTGAACGCCACATTTGTGATTGTCCCCTAGGGTTCTATACTTCTGACCGAAGAGAAGAGTTATAAAAAACCTCTGCCTGGGTTGTGCCTTTAAAGGGAAGGTATGCATTCGTATACGCTTGTTGCTATAAGCAAGTCTTTTTCTGTCTTCGTTCATTACTGCTCACTCACACAGCCTATGGCGGAGAGTAGTGTGATCAAGCAGACCCAGTTACGACTCATAAGTGGAACTGAGTCAAGATCTATGGACCCGTCAGGAGACCTGTCGCGCGGCAAGAAGGCAGAGTCAGCGAAGAGCGCGTTCTGTAGTGATTTCGCCGGTCAAGTTGAATAGAATGTACCACTGCACGTCCTACATCGCAAATCACCCGCCGTGACTCGTCCACCTACTCTGCGTTCTTGCCGTGCGGCGGGCCCCTTGGCCGGGTCTATCCGAGATTCTCTCGACCTGTGAATTGATATGATTTATCTTATTGGAATAAGGATATCTTTGTTTTTTTTACAACGATCACATCGTACAATGAGTCGCAAACCTGACTTATGCACTTTCAAATTTAGCCGTGCTTAAAGGCAAAAGTCGGGCTCAATAAGGGGGTTTATGGCGATTGAAACTGAGTATAGAGATGCGAAGTGGAACGACAGTGGAGAAAAAACTGAGAAAAACCGTCGACAAGGCCGTTAACAAAACCCTCTTTCCCACTAGCAGTGAAGGAGGCTGGCTTGGGGAAGAGGCACGTACAAACAAGTTTTCTGAAGATGTCAGTCGTTCTATCGGTTGATACGGCAATCAACCTAGCTGATTTCACACGTTATGCCAGCCACGCACCACATCCCAAGGTGGGCGGTCGTAGCGGGGCCAGGCGGCGATAGCGCATAGTACATGCCCTGGGGCCTTATTACTGCGCCGTTTCGGGTTTTGAGTGTGGGAACATCTCTACGGGTGCGTAACCAAGTACAGGCATGACCGAAAGGGTTGGTTTGGTCAACTAATCCCGACCTTTGCCTTTAAGACAGTACCGACGATATAAAAACCGCGCGGCGCGCAAATGAACTGCCTTGTTGCTGCCGCGCGCGACGAGACAAGAACGATGCCCCAGCTATGGCGCCTCTTATGGAGATTCGAGCACGGTGAAGGGGGAATTTCACAAATGCTCATGGCATCTCTCAGAAAACTCTTTTGGTTGGAAAATTTCTCACATACATGACCCATCCAAGGACCGACCTCAACCCCGTCTCAGCATAATGACCCCCTCTTCATAGTGAAAAAGCAGTGACATGTTACCCATTTTACAGCGACAAATGGCAAAGAAATTACTTCCAAACACATGTCCAAATTCACATGGAAGATAACCGATTGACAAAAACACTCCAAATCTTGATCATTCATAAACTGACCTGAGAAATCCTCGCAACTACACCACTTTCTCCAGAATTTCTAGGAACCTCAAAGGCACATCCCATGATTGGTCAATTAGTGATTGAAGAAAGCAAAACGAAAAAAAAAACTGCTAAAAACTCTCAAAATCACCGAGTGCCGACCGTATGGGCGGACTTGCGCTCTGCTCCTGCCTGCTGTCATACTGTTTGACCCCGTATCATACTTTACCATAAAAAATGAATGTCTAACCAGTATACTCCCGCAGGGGAGGACGCATACTTCCGCACACGATTCCAAGAGTCTTAGCACAGTATTTTTTTTTTTTTGTTGCTACTGGCTAGGACAACAAACAATGATCATTGTTGAGCGTATTCCTTCCCAAGTATTCAATCGAGGAATGTGCCTCGAATAGTTTTGACTAGAGCCCAGATGTATGTCGATCATTTGTGGACTCAAAATGGTATTGTGGCGCGATCTTGATGGAAGTTCGACGTGGTTTTGAGACCTTGAATGGCCGAGGAATAGCACTGTGCAGTTGCTCATTAAATATCAGTACTGCTATCCTGAAAGTGAAGTATCATGAAAAGTCATAACAAACACCTCTGAGATACGCCACGCATTCGATTTGTATTCAAAATTTCGCACGTCACCGTATTGGAAAGAGAACTTCGCGATAAGGTTGGGGGTTAAAGAAAAGGAATTATTCTCAGTCAAAAGGCAAGCGGGCTCCTAAATAGGGCAAGGCAGACCCGATCTAACAGCGCAAGCGGTATGTGCTCAATAGACTAGCAGAGCCATACCTGAACGCTCGCGCCAACCGCCAGCCGTACCTCCTCGGTTGATCTTTATGGTTGCCGCCTTAGCAGATAGAGCGATAAGCGGTGAGAGAGTTTAGTACCGACGGACAGACGCCATTGTGCGAAAATCAATGGGCATAGAGTGGTGTCATTATTCTAGGGTTTTGGCCGTTTATCAATGGTTTTTTCTTCACCCGCCCCCAATGACCACCGCGGTTCTGGATCACCAAGGAGCTTTCCTTTTCATCGGTAAACTCCAACCTTGGAGGTGGTGTGCCAATAAAATTAGCTACAAATCCCACTACCTTTTCGTTTCTCGCTTACAGTGATGGAACAGGACAAAGGCCTAATCTAAGCTCTGATCTGATCTACGGAGAGGAGGAAGAGCGAGTTCGCCACGAGCTTCTTCTCATATTTTAGAAGTTAACCAGAATGCTGAGAAGAAGGTCATTGTCGGGTTTATTTTCATCAAAGCAACATCAAAGGTTTAAAATTTAGCAATTCACCGTTGATCGAATTGCTTTTTGGGATGCGACACGCATTCTAATTCCATTTGTACATTCGTAGTGGCGTTTGAATGCGATGTGGCCTATACAATGACTTGCGGGGGCCAGCCGATGTACAAGTCAGTGTTTTTATCCTCCCAGACGAGTCTGGTACCAATTAACCGACCCCGGAAGGATGGAAGGCTTGGCTTGGCTCGTACGGCGCCTGCCCAGGATTCTATCCACGGATCGCGCGCGTCGTAACGCGTGCCACTTGCCTAAACGACTGCCGCCCATGCTACGAATGCTTCGTTGCGGAAATTCCCTTGAGTTCCTCTTAAACCCTGGGAGTTGGGGGGGGGGGCGGAGCAGACGAGCAGCTAAATATACAACAGGTCGACGTCCTGTCGGTTTGCGCTGTGCTCCAACAGAAGACTGAAAAAAATGTTGGGGAACCTTCATTAAGGCAAGTGATTACGAGAGGGCTCACTGAATCCTTGGTGTTCCTCTTCATGATCATCGTTCCATTCGCCGACTTTGAGTTCTTAATTAGCCATGAAGAGCCCTGCCAGAGCTCTTGCTGTACACAGAGAGAGGGACGAATGCGTCACACATCCAAGAGGAACACATCGGTTTTTTGCAAAATGCACTTACCCATCCAACGTAGGCACGAGTATCCACGCAATGGTGGTGATCAGAAACTTTGGCCATCTGTTCGGATCACCGACAACTTCTTCTTTAGTGATAGGAAAGAACTCGTCAACATAAAAATAAGACACCAGTTCAGCAACAAATACCACTCCTTGCAGTGTCACCTGAATAGTTGAGGAGATGTCGTTAGAAAGGAGGGTAAGAGCGAGCAGCTTTTGGTATGACATTTGGTGTGTGTGTTTGGGTAGGGAGGGGTATAAACAGAAGGGAAGACGGTTCAAAGACCACGTTCTGCAGAACTGTGCTGTACTCTAAGCACTTACTCAACTTTCTCAGCGCTCCAGTTGACCATACATCTCCAAAATACTCATTATTATGGACCGTACCCATCATCTAATTGATACTGCAAGGTAGGAATTTTCTTGAACTAACCAGGGCTTATTGCATATGGCCACTTCAACCCATCATCCTTTCTTGGTAAGGTGGCGAACGGCTGCTCTTTCAACAAATTTTATGTAGGCAAAAAATGTCATACCTGTTTAATGAACCGCCTTTCTACGCTACGCCTTCTTCTTTGCTCTGATGTATTGCATGCGATACTAGGCTGAAAAAAATAGTAAAATATATGTAAGGAAGGGATAAAGAGAACAAACAACATAATCAAAACTCTGACACTACAAACTTTCTCATCCCTACTCTACATCTCTTCATAGTAAATATTGAAGCAGGTCCTCCTCGCGGCTCATTCTGGCACGTGGCGCCTTTGCCCAGTGAACGGTCCAGCAATGATACCTCTCACCGAGCCCTTCCCAGGGCAATGTTTTTTCAAATTCCCTTATGGTCGATCCATTGGTGTAGGACTCATGTGGGGGATAAAAAGTAGGCCTAGTAATTATAGGATAGCCCTTCCTACTTATAGCGCGGGCCAAATGGAGTTCACACGCTATTGCGATTCTGAGTACTAGAAGTCATAGGCACAGCATATGCCGAAAGGATTGATCAACACGTAAATTTCGTCCCTTTTTGTTCCTATTTTGCTTTCATTATCTATTGAAGAGTGCGGTTTTTGATGTTTTCGATGTTCCCGATGAAGCACGGATATCATTCTGATGAGTTATGAGAATGCAAACGACAAGTACCGTACTTACTTCTTTCCTGTTATGAAAATTCATTTTGAAGAAAGTCAGGCTGTCCATGATGGCAAGAATTGATATCACCGAGAGTGAACGAACGAATTCCGCGTAGTATACAAGCGTCAAATTGCATGGTGGAGTCACATATATCAGCTTCCAGAGTTTTATTGAAAAATCCATTTCGCATGATTCTAAAAGGACAGATCAAAGGCAATGGTACGACAAATGGGTGGTCCGTTGGAAGTGAAAGATGAGGTTGCAAATTTGAAGAAAAACAAAGGAAATGCCCGAAACCCGAGAATCAAGGCTATTTTTAATTATTATAGTTGATTTCCACACTTGGCGAGTCTGACAACTGCTGACGTCATAAACGCTTCAGCTTTGCTCTGCATCTCTGCTAAAGGGGCCAGAGTCCGACGGCGGGGACCGGCAACTGGGTAGACATTTGGAGGGCGGGTAGAGGCACCGATGCGTTCAGAGAAGCGGGTTCAAGCCTGGAGACGCTTAAAATGAACTGCACCCGTCATACAAAGGACAAGGCTATACAGGCTACAAAGATTTTACCCTTTGATCACTGCTGGCACACAGGTATACCACCGGTAGATGAACGACATTACCACAATTTTGAGAACCTCTTGAGCAACCAAGAACCCGTTATATAGCTAAATATTACATCAAATGGAGTTTTATAATCCTCAGGCAGCCTTCAGAGTTTGGCGACGGTACAGTAGTGAATAGTGCGACTGGCGGACGATTTAAGGAGAAAGTGTACCGCGACTAGGCAATCAGCCGATTAGTGTGGAGGCGTTCTGAGTTGGCGATCGTACATGTGAATATGCGACTGGTGCGATCGATTTGAGGCGAAAGTGTAGTATCGACTAGCCAAGAGCCCGATTAATGTGTGGAGCGTCATAGTTGGCGATCGTACATGTGAATTATCGCGAGTGGGGCGACGAATTAAGAGAAAGTTACGTATCGACTAGCAAGCAGCCGATTTAAGTGAGTAAATGGATGCGTCAGAGTTGGCGATCGGCACGTGCGAATAGGCGATCGAGGCGACAGTGCGGGAATATTACATATGTACTCGGTCGGCTTGCTCCGCCAAATAAGTGCGATTGTAGGCGAGTAGTGAGAGTAGGTGACTAGGCGAGGGAGATTACGGTCGTCAGCGCGAGAATAGTGTATCGATAACAGAAAAGATACGTATCTTTTGTGCGCCAAGTCAAAACGGTGTATGATGAGTGCACGTGAGCCTGCCAAGCTGACGGTCGCTGGAGAGTAAATAGAATTGACCCAGGGGTGGGTTAAGTGTAATCTGTCCGCAGTGATGTTTAGGATTAGGAGGCCAAGATTCGGAATAATGATGTCAGTGCTCAATGGATAGACGGCCACAATATCGGCTTACGGCTAGCGCTTAAAAAGTAGAGTCGCATACCGATAGCGCCATGATACATGGAACGATAACTGTGGAGAAAGATTGGTAAAAATCATCGCACTAATAACGGGAAAATAGATGGCGGTGAATCTGAATACGAGAAAAATCAATATGCATCCTTGGTATTGGGATTCCGCTGACCACAGAATTTCTTCAGAATGCCTGCCAATTTTCTAGTTATTGGCAAAAGTCCATTAGAAAAAGGAGAGAAGAGAACACAAACTGACCTGTTCAATGAAATGATTAGATGGGAATAAAGTGATAAAATTCGTAGCTTATCAAACAGAACTGCGCCATATCGAGGCAGTCAGCTTGCAGGGACGAATCACCGTGATGTCACTAAACCACATCTTACGCAGTTTTTTCATACCTTCGTTTTATTTTCTTCTTATTTTATTTTATTTGTTCATTTCATGTTTGCCCAATGATGATCCCAGGACCTGATTTAAAAAGGGACAAAGGCGGCGCCATCACTCATAAACGCATTTGTACGGGGCGTTCGGAAAATCTCGTACAAGCCTATCCAGTCTCGTATCTCTCCAAGCTCGGTTACAGAAGTCACTGGTGAGCTCCATAAGCTATTTAGGCCAAATAAGGCGATAATATGTGCGTATAAGGTTTTCTGGGAGGATCGTGGCACCGGTCGAAGTGATGGCTAGACTTCTTAAGTCACTGTAGAGGCAAGAGGTCATTTACATTAGTCTTCTCTATGAAATTGAATGAAGCGTCCAGATAAATTGATCATCTCAGCTACTTGATAGGTTGCGGTTTGCTAAAATATCCCACGCTAAGTGGAACCCAGACAAGGGCGATAGTTCGGCAGCAGCGATAACACCGAGTGACGATGGGTGGGAGGTTTTGGCGAAACGTACCGATGTCAATTGGTGAACTACACCGTCTATCGTGGCTGGGGGGGGGGGGGGGGGGGCGGGGGTGGTTGATATCAACTACCATCGTACTTCACTGACATTTAGGTTGAACAGATTTTCAAAAGGTATAAATGCATTTCTCTCAGTAGAAGGAGTCTTGGTCAGAATTCGAAGGTTGATCGTTTGAGCGAGTTTCCTTCCCCCCCCTTAACTGCCTAGAGTTTCCAACGCAAGAACGGTGATAGAGGGCAACGCCTAATCTCGCTTGGCATGTTACTAGAGGACAAGTAAATGGCCTATCATCGCTTCAGATTGGCAAAACGGTATTAGACATACCCAGGACTGTATGAATCTCTTTGAGCACAGCGCAGCCTCCCATTGCATGTCCAGAAAAGCATAGGAATTGCCTCTATGCATTCCAATTGAAAATAAAGGCAAGGCGCACTCCAAAGGGGTAATCAGCGCCAATCGATTTATCGCTTTCTCATACAATCACTCATTCCTTAAGAACAAGAAGCAAAGGTGTGAAAACTTACAACAGCAAAGCAGGTGCGAATCCAAACGCCCATATTCCAGCAAACAAGCCATCAGCAATTGCCTGAAAAAAAAACAATTGTCTGTCCCCTACCGATACCTACCAATACATATCTTGATTTACCTAGCATTTCATTGCTCCGCAGAAAAAGCAATTAGGCAACTAGGGACCGATTGGGATTGCTAGAGAGCCTCAGATATCCCAGTCCCGGCCACAGGTCCAATGCCTTTAAAGGCAAGAGACAGGATCAAACTGATGTGGTAATACCACTAATATGAAAGTAGGGATGCGAAGTGGAACAAGTAGAAAAAAAAGAAAAAATCGTGAAAAACACAGAAGCTTCCTTACTTTACCCGGCGGAATTCTAAGAAACAGACAGGGAGATGAGAGATAACGGGAGTTGGGGAGAAGGCAAAGAAGTCCGAGTCGAGAGCGCCAACATCAATGGTGGGCGGGCATGGATCGACCGGGCGTTGGCGGATCGAATTTCGCGAGGTGTTTCAAGATGTTAAGATGTCGCAAACTGTGCAGTTGCGGACCTAGCAAGTCCACCCACGGGAGGGACCTCTTTGGTGAGGCTGAGCCTGACTTTGCCTGTAATATTTTTCTCCCCAATGTCTGGGCACTTTTTGATCAGAATGCTCACCTGCAACCGAAGCAGATGACCGAAAGGGCATTGAAAAGCTGCCAAGCGTCGCACATGGAATACAATGAACACGTTCACTGCGAAACCGATGAACGCAATCTGGAACAAAGACTCGTCTTGGCCTTTGTTTACCTCTTAAATTATTTTACAATTCAATTTCATGTTTTTTTCGATTATGTTTATTTGTTTGAAACGGGAGCCAGTAAACCAGCCCAAAAATTGGTGACCACGATAATGGAACTCGAGACAATCCATCCAATCCGGCGTTCCTTTTGTTACCAACCCCCTGACCCCCCCCCCCCCCAAAAAATACAAGAGATTGAGCGCTTTCAGACTACATCATAACCTTTGAAAATAATCAGCAAAAATCAAAGAATAATGAGCCTGAAAAAACGGCGGATAATTATTGCTCAACCTAGTATAATAAATTGTATAACTTTGTAGATTTTCTTGCCTTCATTAGATTCATTTAGATGGTAACCTATGTCCAACACTTTTCATGACACTTCGAAGAAAGTTCTGAAGGAGGATCCTAAGCGCTGTAACCCAAGCAATTTCAAGTCTGTGCCCAAATTCTAGTGAAATCAGCTACAATTGTTGCGAGCATAACAGTCGCACAAAGCATTAATCAAAGCTTTGGGCGATCATCGATCTTCTTTTGGCATGCGCCAAGCATTCTCCTTCCCTTCAAAACCGTGGTGGTATTTCAATGCATAATTGACCCCTTGAATCATTTACAGGATTACAGCCGATAGCAAATCATTGTTTTTATCCTCCCAGGCAATCCTAAGATCTATTGAGCGTCCTCGAGGAATACGAGGCTCATTCTGGTCTGGAAGTGATTACAAAAGGGATTCGATTCCCAGATCACGGCTGTGGTGTTGAGCGCCACTTCCCATTACCCTACGTCTGTACTCAAAGGATACAACATAAGTGGGAGAAATGGGGAATTTTGATACATACAGTAAAAATGACGATTGCCGCTAAACGGTCTT